TAAAAAACTTCTCTAGTATCTAAATGCCACAAAATTTCAAATTTCAACACTTAATTATTTTAGCTCGCCATTCAGCTTTGAATATATAAAATGCATATTTATATATTTTTTTATGTATGCATTAAAGTAATCTGCAAAAGATATAAAATAATAATTTCAAATAAAATATACTATATAAACTATCAATTTCGTAGCCAAATTACATATTTTATGGTTTTTATTTTTATTTCTGTTTTGTTTACTTTTTCTTTTATTTCTTATCCATTATTAAAATTCGTAAGGAATAAGAATTTAACTTTTATCAATGAAAGATTGACGAACAAAGAGAATGAAATACGAGAAAAAACCAAAAATTGCGTGACAACGTTTCGTTTACAATTTATTGCACATATTCCTATAAAAATTCTACACTTGTCCCGCTCTTACATCATTCATTTTATGTATACTGCCTTAACGGCCAGAGAGAAATAAACATTTTGCCCAATGTTACCGACGAAACGAATACATACAAGCAGCAATCCAATTGGACGGGCGAGGTCCAATATGAAAAAAAAAATTATGGAAAAATTTTATAAAATTTAATTGCTTTTCTTTTCACAAAACTTATATGGCCAAATTACCACAATTTATTAAATTTATATTAACTTTTTTTTAATATTTGTTTATATTAACACCATTTTAATTTAATATACAAGTTTTTCCAACCATAAAAAAAGATGTATTTAAATGCTTAAGTTTGATCAATTTCAATTTATTAATTTATTTTATATAGTAATTAAGGGACGCACCCTGCTAGATTATTTATTTAATAATTTTAAAGTTTTTTAGCTTCCGCCGAACGACACACGAAACCGGCCACTGATCTGAATATTCCAACACACCAAATTCATTTTACACACTAAATGTATAAATGAATAAAAAAAAGTAGTTCTCAATTGTTTACTTAATCATATTGCAATAATAAACCGAAAATTCGGTTCACAAAATTGTTTTAGCACTATATTACTCTCTTTTCTTTTATTGAATTTCTTAGTCCTTATTTTCACGAAAATATATTTATGTAAATTCACACAAACCCTTTCCTTTATAAAACTTTAAAATTTACTTGTACTTTCAACAGAGAATAAGAAAAACTTTATATACTTAAATATTTTTGCATTACAATTAATTAATTTGAGCTAAATATTTATTTATTAAATTTTTCTTAATAGTACAAAATGTAGAAGAAAAAATTCTTCTTCACCACACACACACGACTACAAACGACAAGATGAGATATCAGTCACGAGCCACAGAAGAATTTTTAAGTAACGCCGTTGCTAAATAGCTGTGCAGCGCAGCAAAAAAATTTATTATCGTATACTACCAGAATGTGATTGTCAAATTTTTTATTATTATACTTAATATAACAATAATATATTTCAAAATATATGTAAATCTATTAAATAATGAAAAAATGTAGTTTCTTTATAAATAACTTTACATTATATATATATATTTATTATATGTTATGTTAAATAAAAATAATTACTTATAATAATAATTATAAGTAGTTTTACATTTAGTTTTATACAATCTCTTTTTGTATAAAAAAAAATTATTATATTATTTCAAAATTTTTTAATCCTAAAATTTATATTACAATTAGAAATTTAGCTTGTTAAAAAAAGTTGATGAATGAAAATATTTATTGTGTATCAATTTTTAGCTACTTATATCTATTTTTCAGCAACTTGTCTTTACTTCAAAAAGTATTTTACTAAGTCTGATCATCATTATTTACATTGACAAGATTGGGTTGACACCCATATTATAGCCAAGAAGTCAGTTTTATAAATAACTTTAACATGTTAAGTTGTAATTTTTTAATCCTGCTTTCAATTCTGAAACAATTTCTTCTAGTTCCAATCAAGGTCGTTCGTCATCATAGTCACCTATCACTTCAGACTTAATAATTGGATTATGATTCATTTCCACGATGGAACTCAGACTCAATTTCTAATTGTAAGTGACATCATTATACTGCTTGTTTGTTAATCAAAATATCATTTCATTTATAGAACCCACAATAATCAACATTCGTCTTTTCTAAATTATCTAAATGTCATTTATTTCAGTAATTTCATTTAGATATGCAATTTGTTATTTCATTTAGTTTCTCCGATTGTGATGATTATGTATAAGTTCACCTTAATGAGATCTATGAACGAAAAATAGTTAACGAATTTTCTGAGGTTGTCATTTTTCCTTCCGTAACCTTCCGTTTTTAGGTTACGGCGTTTTTGAAATCTTAAACACATTTTATTTTTTAATTATGGATAAAATTATGTTTAAATAAATTTTATTTTTAATTCCGTAAAATTCTTTCAAACTTTCTTTTTGCACCTTTTATTGCTAGAAAATTAAAAAGATGTGAATTTATTTTCTTTCTAAGATATAATTGAAGACTTCATTGTAATATATTAATTATTTATTTCAGACTACAAATTTGCAATAAGAAAATTCAATGAGAAGCACTGGCAACTCTATATACGTATATTAAACATGTACATATATATTACATGTATATTAAAAATTTTAGAGTTTTATAATTTTTTATCTAAAAACTAGATGTTCTTCACGAAAAACTCAAGTTTCGGTTTTGTATATTTTATGATCAGAATAGTTTGATATATATTTACACATAATATTAATTAGTACGTATTAAAAGAAATTCTCAACATTCTTTAGCTTGGCAACTCTAAAAGTAATTCTGTTGTTTACATAAATATAAGTGTCACTGCTAATAACAGAATTTTTTTAACATGTCAGAGATATATCTCTGAATGTATGATTAAATGTTTTTGCGATTATATACTATATACCGTTTTAAGTATTTTAGATGGTCTTCCTTGGTTTAAATAGCAAATTCAATCTTTTAGCATAATTTCCTAATCCGTAATGGCCTGTAAGCAAACTTACCATAAGACCGATTTTTACGGGGCATCTCAATGAGAAAATTGGTTTTCTTTTAGTGGAATGTGGCCAGATTGTATACAGATGCCTACTTATCTTTTCCCATCTTTTATTAAAAAGTTTAGCAGAGAAAGAAATCAGTAACAATTTGTATGATTTAAATGATATGCCTAGATTTTTTAGGTGTTCCGAGTGAAGTCGTAAAGCATTCTTTCTGTCTAGTTCGTCTGCTTTGCAATTGCCGAAAATATTCTATGATCGGGAACCTAGATAAGAGAAATGTTGAGCTGCTTTCAAGCAGTCTGACTAATATTATATATATATTATATAAATAATATATATTAGCTATATAGTATATTTATATATTCGTGCATTTCAAATGGTGCATTCGTTATTTTGTATAACTAATTATTCAATATATTATTATTCTACATAACGAATACACAATTAATTTTTTAGAATAGTCAATGCTAAAATTATTTCGTGCATTAATTTTGAAACTAATTAAATTGGGCATTTGTTATATTGTTAATCTATTGTACTACTAAAACCTTATATTGCCAAATATAAGATATTAGATAAAATTTATCTATCTGTATAAATCTTATATATATATTATAATATATTAGTTAAACCATATATGATATATGATTAAGTTAAAATAAACACAAAATGCTTAAAGTTTATTTATTTTGTATTTGTAAATTTTAATAACTTATTAATTAAATGACAAAATAACATATTTTTTCGAATACATTATCATTAATTATATTGTATATGTGTTCTTATTATTTTTGATTCAGTTACCTTTACACTTCTTTGTTGTTGATTTATGTTGCATATATGACAAGATATACAAAATGATAAGAATGTAACAAATTATTTTTAATATTCAATCATTTTATGGTTTTTGACACAGTTTTAAATAATTAATATATAAATGTACTTACATATACATAAATACATATATATATATATGCATAATTTATAGATTTAGTATATAATAAAACAAGTTTAACATAATATAAATTAATCTTTAGGAAATAATATTATAAATTAATAAATTAATCAAATCAAAAAAAAAAAATAATAAAGAAAAAACGAAAAGAAAACAAAAAACAATTAACAATTTTAGTAAAAATTTGTAGCAAGTTAATGGCTTGTTTGACTGACCCAAAATTGATTTTTATTATCAAATGTAATTTAATATTTAAAAAAAAATTACTTAAAAATTTATTGAAATTTTGTGATTTCTCAACTTGTTACTAAATATTATAAAATTTGTAAAATTAGTATTATTATTTGCCCAAAAAATTCCTGAATACAGGTTGGGGGACTAATTTGATGTTGACTATTAAAATATTTTACACATTATTAAAAATGCCTTAAATATTTCAATAATGGAAAAAATAAATAAATATATTCTATAAACATTTTAGAAATTTTCATATAATAATAAACAATAAGAAAGTTATTATTTGATAAAATTTTTATATGTGTATAATGTATTCATATTCACACAAATCATTTTAATATTTTTATATTTATACATGTATATTTTTAATTTAATTACGTTTTTTTTTTATATAAAAAATCAACAATAACAAAAGTTTTTACTTATTTGTCTAAAGATTCTTCTGTTTTAAATTTCTTTTAAGTGCGTAAATTAACAGTTTTATTGATTAAAAAAATTTTATTATTATAAATTTGGAAGCGCATTTTTAAAAAGGTAGGTCGTTCGAATAAACTTTATTTCCAAACATCAAAAATAATTAATAATTGATTTATAAAATAAAAGCTGCACTTGAAATATTAAGAATATATCATTTTTTTCTTTAAATGTAAATATTACTGACCAAAATAATAGAGAATAATATATATGTATATTAAAATTAAAATATTTTATGTTCAATTTAAATAAAATACAAGTATTTTGATCTGTAGAAAATATACTATGAACGGGTATTTGAAAAAATAACAATTTAATTTGTTTACATTTCTTTCAAATAATTTTTAGTCATTGTTAATAATTACAAAAAATTTCGTTATTTTTTTCTTTTTTTTTTTGATGAATAGATGATGCTTTTGTTGTTGTTTTTATATTATTTTAAAAATTTCTCCTTCTGCTGTATATTGCTTTATATTGGTCTTGTAAAGTTAGCAGGGAAAAGACCTTTCTCATTAGTGCCTTCTTTTTGTCCCATAAGCCATCCTTCTTCCTGTAAATTCGAAATGTAAAACTATGTTCAATGGATATAAGGAAATGTTTACTTATATGTAAAAACATAAAACTAATTATCTACAAACAAATATTTTAATAACTTTTTAAACATTCATTAACTTTTTAAAATCATTCATTATTTGAAAACAAAAAAGGTTATCGTAGATAAGGTTAATGTGGTAGTCGACCTAATTGATCAACTCACTTAGATTCTATGCTTCTGATACCATTGTTTAATGTCAGTTCATCAGTAACTATATTTACTCATAAACCCATTTTGAAGCTCTTCGATAATGCAGGGTGATGTTAATCTTAGCGCTTAACATCTGTGTGAGAGACAAATACATCTGCGATTAAAAAGTCATCCTGCTTTTAGCTAAAGCCCAACAGTTGTAGAAAAACGTTTTCAATATTATTTAATCCATCCTAAGAGTGTGCGCAGTCTGATATTCCTGGTGTAGAGCCATTATGCGCAAGAACGGTTAGCAATATGGGTTGCCATAGATCATATTAACAACCATATAAACTGTATAATATTGATTAACCATACCAAAATACCAAAAAATATGTATGGATAATATCCCATGGCTTTACAAAATTTTATGCTAGTCTTTATAGATATGGATATGCAATCGCAGTATACGAGAAAATAAGATGTTATTTCAAGAAAATTGAAGTACCAGGAGTTTCAAACCCAACTTTAAAAAATGGTTGCTAAATATGTTTTTACTTTTCGTCTTTATTTTCTAGACATATATCACTTACTAAATATATCGGTCGGAAGAATTGTGTTATGCAGACAGTTATGGTCACTTCTAGCAAGAAATTGTTGTTGGTCACATCAAGAGAAAAATTTTTATTAAAATTTGGACACGGCAACGAAGCTTTTTGTAACTCACCACTAGAGTAAAATGAGTGCTAGACAGTAATAAATAATTTAAGAGTAATTGTCTATGTTTTTAATTTAGACACAACCAAAAAGTATAAAAATAGTAATAACGATACATAATTAACAATTGTGATTTGACTGTCTGCATAACATGGCTTCGCGGATATGACCAAAAAGAGCGTAAAAATGACGTGATCATGCATTATACGACAATTTGTATTACATGGCCCAGGTGACTGATTTTGGTTGACTTAAGTGGCGGCAGAACTTCCTCAACTGTCAAAGTAACGCATAGATGTTTAGTGGTTTATGAACTACACACGCTATAATAGGAATATATGTTTCAAATCAAGCTTGCGCGATTGTTAAAGAAGATTTTTTTAAAGATATATGTTTGGGGCATTCTCTACGCTTTTTAGGTGCATGACCCTAATACATATAAATAAATTATAAATAATATATTGATGTAATGGTTATTTTCTAACCTTAACATATTAGTAACTAAATAAGATTGTTTGATAACACTTAATTATTTTACCTGATCCTCAGGGTCATCGTATTCAATAACGCGTATCATGTCACCGATTTCAAAACTCAATTCGTCTACATCTTCCTTAACGTAACCATAAGTAGCTTTCACACGGTAGAGAACACCAGGAGGCAAATCGGCGGTGGTAGCATCTGTGAATAAAAGTTATTTGATTTATATTACAGGATATTGTGAATAGAAAAGATATATCTATTCGAACATTTAAAGTAGTTAAAAAGATGAACATATGTTATTCAACAAACATTTTGTAGTATTAGTTAGTAGCATTTTATTTTTTAGTACGCATACTTGTTAACGAATTGTTCTAACGCAAAAAATTTAGATCAAACAAACAGAAAGTTAAGAAACGATCGCGTTTTTTTTTCAAGCCTGGCTTTGCTGTCATATAAAAAAAACAACACTTAAAGACAAGATAAGCAGAGATCCAGTTAGAGCAAACAAATTCAGTCCATTTATAAAATTAATTAAATGAAAGTGACATTTAAAAACTTGATAATACAAACACCGTTTATACGCGGCATTCATAGGTAATTTAAATTCTTAAAACTTTTGTATCTCGCAGAATTACACGCCACCATAGAAACGTTCCACAACATCTAATTTTCAAAATATTGATGAGGGAGCAATATTATTCTTTTGTTAATGCTATTTACAATACGCCTTTTTGGACTCAAACTTAATAATATGGATATAATTATGTGTACAGAAGATGAAAAAATTATTAGCAAAAATTAATAAAACTATTTTCATTTAATTTTTCATCTAAAAGGAGTTCCACCAACACCGTAAGTTATGCTAAATTATTTTTAAATAGATTTTTGTTTAGATAAATTCGAATTATTGAATATAGAAAGAATAGTTCAGAGACGACAGGAAATAGTATTAAAAAAATTATTTAATTAAATTATAAATTCACCTACACTAAATGTTTAACAATTATTTTAGAAATACATATGATTCTGCGATGCAATTTAGATTTCCCAGTCATGCCAGTTTGAAAATAGATTTTTGTAAAAAAGACTTTTTTGAGCAACTTACTCCATTACGCTATATATCGATATATAATAAATAATTTAGTTTTCAAGATATCAGACTTTAAAGTTGAAAATTTTTAACTGGAAACCATTAATCGCTACCAACTGCCACCATCTAACCCGGCGTTACTCGTCGTTTGTGTAAATAATGACACTAGATGGCGCGTATAGTTTCTTTTTTTTGTTATTTAAACGAAAATATAAAGCTTACAATTTTATACCTCAATAGCTCAAGAAGTAAAAATTGCTTATAATAATAAACGCTAAATGTCACCAAGGTAAAAACCTTACAATCTTAAATCTCGATATCTCAAGAAGTATGCAATATCGGCAAATACCGTATAAGAAAAAGCTGCTCGAAATAGCTGACTACAAAAATCAATCGTAGTATTGACTTGCCCGGGAAATCGGAATTGCGCCGATTCTTCATAGGAAATTATTTGGCACTAGATACTCTAAAATTAATAGAAGTCGGAAGAGATACATTTTTAAAGGCCTTGCTCCCTCAGTGCAATATTAAGTTTTTGATAGGTAAGCTCAAGAAAGTTGTTGCTCATACTTGTTTCTTTTTATTTACTTACCATTAGGGACTTCGTAGATTTGTTCATCATCTTCGAAGGGGTTCTTATTAACTACTTTGCTACTATCTTTGTGTTTATCATTTTGTACATGATTCTGTTTTTGTTTATATAATTCTTTACCTAATGTTTTTTTATTATCCTCAACATTTCCGTTATTTGTTGCTACAGATGTAGCGGTGTTTGTGTTATTGTTGCCATTTTCATTCTCATTTCCATTGCCATTACCATTAAGCTTTTCTGTGGGAATTTGTGGTTGTCCTTTCAGGACCTTTGTTGTACTATTAACGACTTCTTCCGTTGTAGCTGTTTTCGTTGTTGTTGTATTAGCTGTAGTTTTGTCACTTTCAGTTACATTAGCATTTTGACTGTTCAGATGTTTATTTTCGGGATTATCTGTGGTCTCATCATTTTCAGTGGTGGATGTTGTAAGTTGTGTTGCTGGTATGGTGGAATTAGTGGTATTAGTTACTGGTGTATTTTGATATGATGGCTCATTTGTTGATGTTGATGTTGTTGGGCTGCTGGGTGTTGAACCTCCTTTAAGATTCTCTGGTGTTGATTCTGGTGTTGGAGAAATTGAATCAAGTCTAGCTTCTTGCTCCGAGCTTGAAGATGTTGCTGTTCATTTATTTTTTTTATTTCGGATTCGATTTCAATTTTTTTTTCATTTATTATTTATACATTGTTTTTAATGTTCATGTGAAATATTATTAAATATTGAGCATTTTCGATTAGAATCGTTCCAAACAAAAATGTTTAAAGGAAGAAAAACAAGAAAAAAACAAATAAAAACTTAACACATGCACGTTAAAAATATATTAAAAATAAATTTTTATTTTATTTAAATTTTCTTTAACAAAACATGCAAAACATAAAAACATTCCAATTTTTTTCAAGAGTAATAGTTAATGTCATAGTTGGAAAAGAAATTTTCACGAATCTTCAAGATTTAAAGATATAGATAATTACAAGCAGTGCACTTTGTATATATATATATAAATAGATATTACATATATATTATTACATGTATATATTAATTTTATATATTACGTGAATACACGTATGTGGTGCTGTATGTACTAAATTTTATTATATAGTATAAACAGTGTGTCCTATATTAAAGCATATTTAATGTGAATAGCGATTCTTTGGTCTAAGAAACGATATAAATTCTATAGTAAAGGGTTTTAATCAAATAACAGTTTCAGGTTTATCTAACCTGTTATTCTATATTTATGAGCTTGGAAAGTGTTTGGTAAAATCTGATTTTTTAAATATCAATATTTCATTATTGTGATAATATTCTTTTTAAAGATGTTTGGTAAAATAAAGATATCAAAGTAAGAATATAGTTAATTATTAAGATAGTTTATTATTAAATTCACAAATGAAACATATCTTTTCTGTTAACCACACAGAGACGCAGATTTACCTCGTAATTATGAGGCACCAACTACTTTTCAGAAGTACCAGGATGTATAGGAGTGGTTTCTTGATGTCAATCAGTTCAACATACCTAGATGACTAACATTATGTACCTATATTATCTTTTAAAATCATGCTACCTTAATACGTGACATTGTGTATATTACATTTATTTTAGACATATATGAATGACTTATTACAGAAAGATTTCTAAGTTACTTGCAAACAATTTTAACTTAATTTAAAACACTGTCTCCCATCTATATGTACTGCTAGAAGTATCCTTTTGGATTGTTTAAATTATATAAAAATTAAGACAAGTGTGCATAATAACTTAGCGTTTCTGTACTGGTTGTGTCTATCCAATGAGTGACTATTTCTACCTCGAACCCAAACCTCAGAAAAGAAGGATCTGTCTACAATGAACCGTTCACATTTATAGGTATATATATACATATATTTGTATATACATATGTGTGTATTTGTAGAAACATATATGTTATAGTTGCATATATAAAAACTTATATATAGATATTATAGTCATATATTTAATATTAATTGAGATAATGTGTATTTTTAAATGTATGTTAATTTGTTAGCATTTAAAGATTTCATCATATTTTTCAAATTTAGATATATGTAACATATATATAAATACATAATGTACATAAAAAACACCTAAAGTTCGTAGATATCGTAGTATTGCACTTAAATGTATAATTGGGTTCTAACTCAGAAAGTAGTTTAAAGACTAATAGATGAAATTTGTAATTTTATATATTGAAACCGTTGTTATATGAAATGTAAAGGAACTTTTTTCAAACCTGTAATACATATTCTACTTCAAACAACAGAATAAATTAAAGATTTTCAATCATTGAAAGAACTTTTCATGACGAAAAAATATTTACTATACAATATTTAAACTATAATCAATACATTTAATTATTAAATTTAAATAATTATATTATATTAGTACGAACATTCTTCTATCTTACAACACCAAACATTTTCATAGGTTTGTTGGAACCACCAGTTATAAGTTAGTACATCTTATGCACAATTATATTATCTATACTCCTTTAAAACCATATCGCAGTAACTATACTCTATGCAAATGGATCCCATTCTTAAATGGAATTATTATTATTGGAATGCTTTATTGTTTGTAATTAATAAGTTTAAATATTAAGTATATAAATTATATTCTAATTGCTAAAAACTGAAAATAGTTTCATACAGAATGATAATATTTAAAATTAAAAATTAGTATATAAATATTTATCATTTATGAACAACTTAATAAATAGTATATTTAGTGCTGTCAGCTTAAATATTATATTAATAACTAAAAGATTAATTGCTCATATCAAAGATAAATTATTTCATCTTTATTTGAATTAATTTCCAATTCACAGAATTTGGTATATATTAATATTGTATTAACAGTTATACTTACAGATTAAACCTCAGTGATATAAAGTGCTCTAACATACTAAGCTTGGAGGAGGATATAACCGAGCTATGTTAAAAATGTTGTTTTTATATTAGTATAAATAAATGGAGTTCTGTTGGTTATAATAGAAAAATTTTATATCTGAAGTATTTTAATAAATTTTTCTTCTTAACAAAAACAAATGTTCTGTTAAGTGTTTTTTAATATAAGCCACTAACTAAACTAACTAACTTAAAGTTGATGGTGATTGCTTATTTTTGTGGATTTAATAAATACAAAAATTAGATCCTAAGATACACTTCTGTGATACTCCAGATGTTCAAAAAAAACTGTTATTGCTCTTTGATAATAATTCACAAATTATTAATATTGTATTATTTCTAAATTGGTATAAAAATTTTCCACAGTGATTATAATTGTTAATATTTTAAAATAATGAAAAATTTAGAAATACTTTTTTTAGTTATTTATACTAACATATAAAAGTAATTACAGAATTTTCTCTTTTTTGTCTAGATCAATGCTTTACAAGGATAAATTTCAAAATTATTTGCAACTTTAACTAATTTTTTTTTAAAAATTAATAAGCTGCAACTTCTTACCATTTTTTATACTTCAAATAGTTTTTAAGCCAAGGACGACTCACGTCTCTAATGGCCAACTAAGTAAGAAATAGTTTTTAAACTCTTTTTCCAATACTTAAATTAATTATAATAATAAATATAATGGCTGACAGCAATAAATAATAATTAAATAAGTTATTAAAAAAATTTAAATATTTTTATGCATATTAAATATTAGTAAATGTTGGTATTTGATATATGCATATGCAAATTAAAAACATAAGTTTATAAATATTTTAATTTTGAAATATACAATTCCAATTGATTTAAGCTTAATAATATGTATGAATCGAATTTTTACAGTTTTTAAGCAATTAAAATTTTTATTAAAAAGCAAAAATAGAAAAAAAAATATATTAAAAACAATTAATTAAACAACTCATTTCGTAAAAATAAAAATCAAATAATAATACTTAAAGGTAGTTTTTTTAAAATTATTGTATATTGTTGTTGTATGTTTAGTTTAAAATTTTAAATTGTATTTGTATTTCACAAATACACATTGAAAAAAACAACAACAGCGGCAGCTATAGGAGCATCAGTAGTAACCTTTTTTTTCTTATACTTACGACTGTTAATGTTACTGGAACCGTTGGTTGTAATTTGATTCTGATAATTGCTGTTGACATTTGCATTATTCAATGGCTTTACTGGAGATTGTACTGGACTTGAAGATTTGATAGGATTCGCTAAAAAAAAAATTACTCGTTTAGTTATCAGTGTTTAGGTAGGTAAATCAGTACTATAAAACTTACTATCCATAAACTTACTGGCTTGTTTTCGGAGTGTGTTGGAACCGCGTTGTGACTCTGTTGCCAATTTATCCACTATTGCTTCCAATTCAGAGTAGATCTGTAAATATATACAAATGTATATTTAGTTATAAAATTTAATTTTAGTTATATATGTTATGTTAGGTAAAAACTTTTCGGCGAATTTTTGTTCTTTTATATGTTAATTCTTTTACCTTTTATCATTGATAGGTAAAATTATATGATTATTGATGCAAATTTTATTAAAACTGATTAATCAAATATTTGTAAATTGAATATTTTCATTTTCAGAAGTTGATCAATATATTTTACAATTACTGCAATTAGAAGTTACTGACCGTTCGGTTTCTTTTGTTCTGAAAGTGTGGGTCTCTGGTCGACCAATAATTGATAAGGATGATGAAAAAGCAGAATAATAGAAAAAAGGCGCCAAATTGATGAAGAGAAAAGAAGCTATGTTTTATATTATGTACTGTATTTATACTGTGCTTTGTACTAGCACGTACACCTTTTTTTGGCAATTTTTAAAAAAACTTTGGAACTTTATAAGGGACTCACAAAATAAACTCGAACTTGAATTGACCAATTTTTTATTGAAGTGAAATTGGACCAAAAGTGGTGTCTGAGAAGCACATCAATCGGTTCCGTAAATTTAAAACAGTGCGATTTTATGATATAGAAATTCTGGTAACAATTTTAGTCACTTTTGATTAAAATCGCCGAATACTTTTAATCCAACCCAACATTATGTTTTAATAGATTATTTTAAAATCAAAATTATATTATAAATTAAGAGTAATACTTAAATCTTTATTATTAAATGCAAATAAATATATTATGTTACCTTAGATGTTTCATTGTGGAAGAGTTGTTCTGTGGCAAAAAGTGTTTGCAAGTTTGTTACCAAAAATAATATTCTTGAGTCGTATAGCGCTGGTAATTCGTCATGTAATTCAGTATTTAGAATTTCATATGTGCGACGAGCTTCTTCCAATTGTTCACGACCTTTTGTTAGCTAAATATTACAAAGTTAAATAAAATTAAATAGAGTTGTTGATTTTTCTTAGTAATAGTTATATACTTTAACATCGTCCTTGCGCTTGTTAGCATTTGCCTGCAAATTTTGGAACGAATGGCGTTGCCCATCATAATCAATTAATTTTCTATTACGTTTTTCAATTTTTTTCTAAATTAAAAAAATAAATAAATTTTTTAAAAATATTATATATATAATTATTTTTTAATATAATTTCTTAATTTATTACCTTCATTTCTGGAAATTGTCCAGTATATGTGTTAAGTGGTATCAAAACTTGATCACCAAGTTTGTGTGCAAAGTCTTGCCAAAGGCTTTCTGATGCACCAGTCTGTGCTTGTAGCGCATCAAAACCGGACCAATGAGGCTCATAAATTTCAGAAATAGCATCCATCAAAGATTTGGAAGCAGTTTGAACAGCTATTATGAATGAATTGCAAATATATGAAGTTTTTTATAAGTGTATACAGTGAAAGCTCTCTTAAGTGAACACTGACAGAATCAGAATGGAGAGAATTTTCAGTTAAGAGAACCATTTGTTTAAAAGAAAGTACTTATAGTACGTTCCCATCGGCTTAGTTAAAATAGTTTATTAAATTTATGTTGCTAATAAAATTTGATTAATTTGAATTTATGTATTTTAGTGTCCAAACCTCCAGTTACCTACTAATTGGAATTTTGTTACTGTCATGGCTCCATAGTCACTTTCATGGCTATTGACCTATGTACACGGTGTATTGTCCAATGACAATATCCAGACATAGCTAATGCTTTTTAACTTATAAATTAACTTATGCCAGTGGAAACGACCAAATCTTAATTTGATTAACATAAATTGATTAATCTGCAGTGGGAACATGGTGTTTAGATAAAAAACTAAAAGTAAGGATTAATAACATAGCATTATCCATAAAGATGCTCACTTAGAAAGGTGTTCGCTTAATAGAGCTTTCATTATATGTACTAAATGTAAGGATTCATATTGTTATACCTCTAATACATCTGATATAGTTGTTGAATTCTTTTTGTAATTTATTAGCATGAGTTTGTTGGCGATTGAAATTATTTAAATGGTCATCGAATATTTCATCTGCAGTTCGATCAACTTTACCCAAATTTTGTAAAAGCTGAAAATAGAATAAATAAATTGAAAAATTAATAAAACTTAGTTACTATATAAGTTTTCATGTAATTGCAAAATATGTAATCAATGTAATGAGTAATGAAATGTAACATATCTAATGTTACATATTTAATCAAATCTTTAAGGAAAAAGATAATAATATTAAAATGTTAAAGATTGTTTAAGAAATAATATTTTAATATTATTTGTTAGCATATTTTTTTTTATTAATATTATAAAAATATCTGTGGTTGTAAAACCCTTTGGTGATAATAACTATTGTGAATAACTATCTACTCTGAGGAAGTATCGAACAATTCTTTACCTTCAAGTGTGAATGTTAAGTTGAATTCTGTAAAATGGTTTGTTTCATTATAATTATAATCTTCACACAAATAATGTTGCCAATGTCTTCAGAACAACTTATTGTTCTAATAACATGATTTTTTTATTGCTAAGCTCAGAGAAGATAGGTCTTAGAATAGGGGAATAAGGTAATGAGAAATTTAAGTAGTTTGGTGCAATAGCGTCTAACTAACCTAAACACATTGGTAGGATATAACCAGAATAATAGAAGTTGGGGTTAAGTTTATGTGTGTATAATTTAAAAGATGGATATATATATTTCTGCTATCTGCTATATATACATCTGCAGTTTGTACACGTATCAAGAATAAACTAATTAATCCTAGACAAATAACTGCAGATGTAGCAGATTGCTACATCTTAATCTTAGCTTAGCCATAATAATTACTTGTGCCAGAAAGGCATACCTCGGAAGAAATTTTTTTTCTTTCGGCGAAAACTGTTGAATATTGATTTGCTAAGCATATGAGATCTCGAAGAAGATACTGCTTTGGTGTGAGGAGCTAATAGCCTGGTATTCGGTTTTATGATTGTTTCTTTCGCTGCGAAAGTTCTCGATATATTTGGGATATAAAAACAAAAAAAAATTGGTTTAATAATTATTAAATTAAATTAAATTATTTACCAATAGTCACTAAGGTGGTGTACACATGTAGTAAGCGCCAAATTTTAATACATTGGATATATAGGATACTCCACCATACATTTCTAATACATTCTAATACATAATAGGTTGTTAATTTTTTATTTTCACTAATTTTAATTGTTTGAAAGCCTTGCCTCTTGCTTTTCAACATTTATAATCAATCCAAATACTTTTAGGGGAGAAATTAATTATAAGATTACTTTCCTTGTCGTTTGGAAATTTTATTATCTCACACATGTCACGTCTATTTAGCGTAGAATTCTTTTGTAATGCGTTATTTGAGTTGTTGTTAAACGCAAGTATTTAGACACACAACCCATATTAACCCATTTTAGAAATTAAAATTGAAAAATTAATGGTTTATCAATTTCTTCGTCTGGTTTTAATGCACTTAACTTATTAGTGCATTAGCATTATTAATTTTTATTAGATTCGTTGGGGTAGATATTAATATATAGAAAATATTGATTTGGTCGAGATGTTAAAAATAATTCTACACTAGATCGAGTAGCTTCCTTCCATTTCAATTACATGTATATTGTATTATATTGAAAAGAAAAATAAATAAATAATAAAAATAAATAAATAATAAAAATAAAAAAAAAATAATAAAAATATATAAAAATCAACAAATAATTAATTTCAATTGTTTTTTTTGTTTTTAATTCATTTAATTATTTTTGAAATGTATTTTCGTGTATTTGTATAGCTTTTTAAAGTACACAATGTGACGTCATACGTAAGTGGAACACACGTAACTGCAATTAACCTTGTGATTAGCTATAATTTCGAATTAACTGACTGATAAATGTATCTTATGATAACATTTATTATGACTGAGAGTTAAATAAAAATTAACGTCAGCTTATTTTTTCACAAAATTTGGCGGAAAATATGATACAAACTCATAAGATACAGACTAAAATCGAATAAAATTAAACAATAAAAATTGTACGAATTGCACATTGAATAGATTTGCCGGAAAAGGTCAATGATTGCTATAATGTTTACAAATACGAAAATGTATCTGAAGTAAACAACAATAACAGTTACTAAAAGAATCTCTATAAAGCATAAAATTTATATTATTATTACGTATATTATTGTAAGATATGAGAAAAAGAACGTAGTAGATATTTTATAGAAATACTTGTTTATTGTTTATATAATTTATAAACCAAAATGCGTACTCAGCATAAAATGGGAAGAGTTTTATGATACCGATTTGTATAGGTACAACAAGTCTATGTGAAGATACCGAAGTACTTTACTAAGCAGTTAAAATATTTTAAACAATAACTGATGGCCTTTTAAATGGAAATACTATATAAAATGTTGTTGAATTATTTGATGAATTGCTTTTCAAAACTGTTGACAATAAAATAGTTTATATGTCTGTCTTACTTTTGGTAGTCATATATATAAAAACAATAACAATTTTTTTTACTTATAGTTAAATTAAATGTATAACCAAGCGAGCTTGTATATTGGTTCAGTATTTTATTTTCTAAATAATATAGTCTTCTCTCATTAGCACTTCTTAATACAGACTAGTAAGTACACGTATAAACTGCACTGACCTTCAAATCAGTCAAACAAAATTATTGTGTATAAATTTTAAAGTTAAAAGTAAAAAAGTATATACTCGTATATTATATATAAATGTATATACAATACTCAGTTATACTATAGACATTTGTCAACTTTACGCCTAAACACCCATGTCGTTGCTACACAATGTAAAACTCTCACGCATTTCGAACATAAGCAATAACCCATAGAACACAAATAAGCGAATATCTTGTATCTTTAAGGTAAATTTATGTATTTGTTGTTATTTTTCAATATATATTATTGCATTACGTAAAAAGCTGAAAATTGAAGAAATCATTTGTGAATTGTGGTTGTGAAGCGGTTGAGGCAGCACCGCGTCAAAGATTTTAAAGAAAAGCGTCAAGATGGAGAATTGCATCAGTTACATGTGCTTTACTGATTGTTGATGGCCTCAATACACCTACGAAAGTTTTCTTGGCATTTTTTTTTTTTCATAAAAATGTATATTTAATATTTACTTTAAAGCAATTTTTATACCAAATAAATTATTAAAAAAAAATATGTTAAAAACACATTCACAAAATATTTACTTTATTATGCGTTAAGCATGAGAATATTTCATTAATAACATATATATTCCTATATAGTACATTAATTGATTTTGTATTGTTTTATATCAAATACTATAATGCTTGTCTCTCAGTTTATTCGTGTCGAACCCTGTTTTCACATATGAGGCTTTGATGACCGAGCGTTCGGCGAGATTTCAATTTCACAACATCCAGCTTTGGCTGGAAATGGTCTCATTCACCAATATTGGAGAACTTATTCAGCAATAAGTTTGGAGACCTCAAAATCCACAAAGCGTTAATTTCAAAGATAGCAGCCCTATCACTAAACTCAGGCCAATTCCCTACCGCAACTGAACTTAACACTTATTAAAAACAATAACATACAAGAAATAGAAATCGATCTGATCTTATAATGACGATAACTGCCTGTTCACGGTTACGATTTGGATTCTAGAACGTTAATACTTTATATGAAACGAAAAAACATATCTTATGTTCTTACCGATTAGCAATCCTGAAAATTGTCAATAAAAGAATTTATTCCTTCTTATAGACAAAAATGGACAATCTAAGTGGAAATGAATGATTGTTTCTTCTTTTACATCTTGAACAATAAATTTCATAAGAAATAGGCAGTTTCTTTTCGCAAGTATCTATGCAGTAATAGCTTGAAAGATCTGCATTGAAGTTTGTAACTGCAAGCCGCAACAAGCTTTCATGAGTTCTTTTGATCTGTTCTTATTTTGTGAGGGCCGGTCGACCGAAATATTATACGTGTTGTTAGTAACTTCCACCTGTTATTAGCTAGCCAAAAAAAATGGTTGGCTCTTCAAAGAGCCTTGGTACATCCGAACAAACGACATGCTAAGAGACCTTAGAATAGACCCGATCAACAAATACATAAGGGATAGAGCCGAAAATTGACAGGCTATCCTACTTACTACTATCTAATCTTTGAATAATCACTCTCCGCACGGGGAGGTACGCTGATCTTAGATCAATCACTGAATAATCATGAAGCTTATAGGCAATACATAAATTAGTCAATGAGATGGGTGGGACCCTGCAGTACCCCCAGTTATCAGAGTAAAAGTGCAGTTGCGCTGACTCGAAAAAAGGATCAACATACATACATACAATAGTTTAATATTTTCTGTATGATCTATATGAATGACCAGAATTTAATAATTAGTACAGATTATTTCTTGTAAGGCTTGAGGTATTAATATAGCAAATAATTGTTGTATTTGTGAGGCTTAACGGATCTGCCAATCATCCCCTGCAATTAACCAACAGCTTATTAATGAAATATAATATTTTTAATAGCTTAGTTTTTTTTATGATAGTGGATGAGTTTCATACACCAAGTAGTACATCGCTACTTAGATGGTCTCTTGTGCTATATTATTCTTGCGATGATATCAATTATTCTTCTTTAAATTATAAATATTCTATATTACATTTTCAATTTACGTACATACATTTATTATACTTCACACAGTTATTATTTCTCAAAAGGTTGTAATGCATAAAAAATTCTTTATTGCAGCTCAACGTTTAGTTCTTAAAAAAAGGTTACACAAACATATGATAAAATATGCTAAACTGAGCATAAAAGCATACTTAATCGTAAAGGATTTTCAACGTTAAAGGATGTCATTACATCTCAACTATTTATTGTATGAGAATATGAGAGCTTGACAACCTTGTAATACATTTGCGATGAAATGAAAACTAATATGTAACATATGATTTGCACCATAAGTGACTGTGCATAATATTGCTTTCAATATATGAGGTTAAAAGGTTAAATGGTTCATAAAAGCATTTTTTTTTGGATAAGTTTTTAATAGTTTTTCAAAATAA